GATAAAAATCTATATTTTGCCCAAGTTAATGGCAGAAATCTTCTGGATTGCAGTGGACCAGTTGTTGGAGAAGGGATTATTTCTTTGTTATAAATTAAATAAATCCATCTGATACAGACTCATATTTGATTCAGAACATAAGTTATATGGACCACAAGATGCTATTTTAAGGAAATACTGCTGAAAGAAGAAAAATTAAAAGAAATTGTATATCCCCTTTTTCGCAAAATTTGTAATGAAGTAAAAGACAAGCAGAGAAATAATCCCTTGAAAAACACCCAAACATTAAGAATATTTCTAAGCATCTATTTTTTTACAGTACTTGGATTAACCACATGTTTAACCTACTGCTTTGTGGACCTTCATATCCACACACAACAGTACCATGAGTGACCAACAGTGACCATAAACTACTTCAGAGTAGCATATGTGGAAATTACACGGTAGGTTCATTGCCATTACAAACATCAAATGACATCTAGATAAGCTTCTTTGTCACCCACTGTACTTTATGCTTCATGAAGCTTATGCAGTCAGCCACATCAATTGAATAAATAACCAGAGGCATACAGACACAGAGAGCCTGTCTGCACTACAAGAAAGCACGGTCTTTCAATATAATAGTTAATTTAAAATACACAGAGCTTTGCTGAAAGATTTCTCCATGTCTACATGTAGTTCTGGAGGAGATCATCCTCATATGACACTTTTAATCACACTTTTATAACATATACCCTACAGATTCAACCATGGTGGCTTCTGCAGAAGGAAGCCAACTTTTTTTTTTTTTTTAGCGGAAAACAGCAAATACTTGTAGGACTCCAATGGTATGTTTTACTGATGGACCCCATTATGTTCTTTAGTTCCAATGAATTTAGGGCAAAAAATCTTTAAAACAGGTTACAGTCTGACCCACGATCCTACTCAAATGCTACTGGAAACCTGTTCCAAAAATCATGTCCAGCATTAGTTCCGTTCAGATATGATGGTGCCACAGACCATTGGCTATTTAACCTGAAGTTGCATTCTTATCTTACTGTGTTGCCAACCTGGTGTTGTCCTGAAAAGACAGTTAGAACAGGATCTCGATCATAACACCAATTTCTGTATTAATTATTCATTTATAGGTAGGATTATGCAGACAGCAACGTCAATTGAATAAATAAGCACAGGCATACAGGCAGGTGGAAGAGACTTCAAGGCCAACCAACTCACTATAGAATTTGGGCAGTTTGTGGAACCAGACCCCAGTGTTCATTCAGAACTTTGACTGAAGAAAACAGAAATTTAATTTTGACTTCTAGGTGTACGATATTGAGAAATGTTCACAGATCCCACACTGAAACTGTTTTGAACAATTAGAAACACTTTATGCTGGGAAATTTGCTGTCATTGTAAAATAGGAGTGTCCTAACAAGTGGTGTGCATTTTTGGCAGTGTTGAGGCTGGACAGTTTATGGACATGCAGTACTCGGTTGCAGCAGCTCTCACCTATTCTCTCACCACTCCAGTATAAGATTTTCAGACTCCTCCCAAATGGGATAAGGGGCCATGCTTCTCCCTCCATCCTATTCCTCTCTTTTCTCTACCAGCACAGCTGTTGCCTTATAATCAAAGAGCACATCAGTGTGCGAGCATGCTGAAAGAGTTTACTCCAGCAATTAAACAGAAAGCTGCCTTAGTAAGTATAACCAGCTTTCACAGCCAGCCTCCACAGAAAGCACGACACAACTGAAATATCTCCTATCACCTCTGGAGCTGAGCTGCCACCAGCTGCACAGTTATTCAGCCTTTTGAATAATGATCTGCCCAGCAGATGCAAGACAGTGGGAGCCATGAGGTTTCTCAGTCCTGAGGGGAAAAAATTACTTTTAATACCTTCCAAGATGAATATGTTGATAGGGGCAAGCAGATACAGGAAAGAAATGAGTCAGAAATATTTTAAGACAGTACACAAATGCCATTACAGGATACCAGCCCTTAGCCGTACACATAAAATTCTTCCTTCAAGCTGTTGATGTCAGCTTTGGACTGAAATACTCCCAGTGTGTAGGGCTTTCAGTCGGTTACTCTTTTCCATCTACCTGCCCTCAGTTTGCTGAGTGCATCAGAGTGCTCTTACAGCTCTCAAGGTGGGGAGGTTTTTTCCTTTCCAGTGTTATCTCTCTCTACAACTACCTGAAAGGGGGTTGTGGTGAGGTGAGTGTTGGTCTCTTCTCCCAAGCAACTAGCAATAGAATGGGAGTTGCACCAGGGGAGGTTTAGACTACATATTAGGAAAAAATTCTTTACTGAGAGAGTAATCAAACATTGGAACAGGCTGCCCAGGGAGGTGGTGGAGTCACCATCACTGGAAGTGTTCAAAAAATATGTAGACGTGGCACTTCAGGACATAGTTTATTGGGCATGGTGGTGCTGGGTTCATGGTTGGACTCAATGACCTTAAAGTTCTTTTCCAACCTTAATGATTCTGTGATTCTGTGGGAGTTATACCATGCTGGCCATGAAGACATTAAAAAAAAAAAAAGGAATCATGTACTGAACAGAGATCAGACTCTTGCCCTTGGTTTGTTTCTTGATTTGAAATACCAGACTAGTGAATCAGGGCATCTTTATATATTGTAAGGGCCCATATACACAGATCTATCATGATCCTGCACATGCTCTTTTAGATCGTTCTGTCGCTCTTCTCGCTTGGAAAAGGATCGACCGTTTTGATCACTGTCATCAGAAATAAAAGCATTCGGTGCCTCCTCTGGGACAGATTATACTACGGAGTCAGCTTTGTATTTTGGGACACCTGTTTCATTTGAGCTCAGAATTCGCGTTATAGATTTGCTTTTTTAAGAGTGCTGTCCTTGTCAGTAGAGGGCACTGTAGGTATGTCTATACCTACCTTTCCATTGTGTACACCTCTAGAAACAAATGTTAAGAGGTGGGCAGCACTATCGTTAAGACAGGTAGGGATTCTGGAGCAATGAAGGGCCTTAAATAGACGAATTTTTGCTCATAATGAGAGAAGCTCACACTAAAAAGCACTAAGAAGCAAGAGATGTTGCAAATGTACGGTTAAAATCAAGTACTGATTCTGAATGTACCTAGGACTTAATACCTTAGGACCAAAACATAAGTAGCAGGCATTGTAACTCCTAGTTTTCTTGGTTTTGTTCATTAGTATCTCACTTTTTTCTTCATGATATCACATAATATTAACATTTTAGTAAATTTTAATATGTATTTTTTACTGTTTTCTCTACCATGGTTTTCTGTCAAGTCCTCACTCTCTAACCAGATACTGTTACATACAAACACATATAACAGGAAAACAGTAAAGGACAAAGGGGATGAGTGAGAAGCAGACAGCATGGAACACGGAAAAACAACAAGACAAAATGTGACGAGCCTTCTGTTACACAGCTGTAAGCATGGCATTGCCATTGTGGGCACAATACGAATACAAAACAATGACAAAACAGGTTACAGAAATGCGCTGAAATTTCATGAACTCCAACTGCACAGAAGACTTGAACAAACAAACAATGATTATCTGAAATAATTTCTTAACACCCATTCCAGTCCTCCCATCTTTTTTTTTAAAAATCATTCAAACTGCAAGAAGGAGGAACACTGCGTTGCTGTCTCGCTCCTTAATTTTTATTCTAGGTTTGGACCCTCTCCTTCTTTCAGGATTTCAGTAAACGATATTGCATTTTCACTCCTTCCTGGGCTTCTTTAGACATTCACACTTTCAGCAATACTGAAAAAATTTCATGTAGGTTTCCTGCAGCTCTACTCTATTTAAATTGTTAGTATCTCCTACCTAGTTTCAAGATTTCTAAGAGCAAATATGAGCTGCCCCAGCTTTGTACATCAGCTGGGGATCTCTTCCAGCAATGGCTATATGTAGCTGTGAAGGTCCTTACACTCCAAGTAATAGTGAAAGACAGCCTGTGAAACACTTCAGCAATTAGGCTGCCACTTTACAACTACTTCTATTTTCTGTATGAAATACTATGCATCAGCAAATAAGCCTTTTTCTTCTGGCATGAAAAGGCAAACTCATAACGGCAACAGCATCTGAAAGCCATTGGTACTGTTGTTGGTATTGCTGCATTTAAAAAAATGGTGTATTCACACAGTAGTTGTATGCTCTCTCTGCTTGCTGCGTTGCTATTTAGAGAAGAAAGAGTATCCCCATTCTTGTCTTTGCATGTGAATGCAATGAAAATCTGCACCAGTTACAAAATGGACAGGCAGCATGGCCCCTTCAGTGCCAGAGCCAGAGTTTCTGGAATCTGAAGAGTTTTGCAAGATGTAATAAACCACCATTAACATCCTGCTGATTGCCTTTACAAACCTGTGATGCAGAGGATCAAAACACTGAAGAATTCCCTGGCTTTGCTGAAATCACATCATACAAATCCACTTACATGAAGCGATGTGCAAGCTCTTCCCTGTCTGACTCACGCACTCAGTGTATGCTTTCCACTCAGGAATTTCAGCAGATTATCAGAAAAATGCCATACCAGGGTGTGTGTGGGGCTGGTGCCTCCACAAGGTTAATATTAGCATTCCCCTTAGAAGATGAGAGTGTTAAGAACTGAGCACGCTGTGTGTCTGTGTATACTACTACGGAGAATGATAGGTCTGCAGATACGTGCCACAGGCATGGGAGAAGCAGTAGCTTTCACCGTTTCCACGAGCGTGCAGCATCTCCCGTACTGAGCAGTGAGGATGTTCTGCAGCAGACAAAGAAAACCTCAGCGCAGCTGGACTCAGCCCTTCACGTGTGACTGCACCATCCAGCAGTGGTCATTCTTCAGCTCTGAGATCCACCCTTTGTATCCTTTTCTTTCTTTCTCACTTTTAAAATTGAGGGAGACGAAATTCACAAATCCATGGGTTATTCTCACAGAAGCTTTCCAGTGTGTTTTTTTGCTGTTTCATTTTGATTTTTTTTTTTTTTTTTAATAAATAGATGTTTGTTTTTTTTTTTCCTTGAGAAACAGCACTTTCCACTAGATGGAGACAGGACACTGGATCACTTTGTCCTCCAGGAGGACACTGACAATCAGGAACACAAAATAAAGCCCAAACATGAGAAAGCCCAGGATTTTATTCATCCTCCACTTGCAGAAAGCGATGGAGAGGATGACGAAGAGCAGCATGATGAAGAGGAGGACAATCGCACAGAACAGACCATTGCTGCTGACTGTCACCGGGGCAAAACTGTTAATCGCAGCATACAGGAGCCACGGAAGAGGAAGGCTGTTAAGAAACAGAAAAATAAATTGGAAACACTGCAGAGGTGCAGAAAGAGGCACTAGAACATTTCTGGAGGCACTTCAAAATACAACCAGAGGCGTCCTGCATAAGGTGAGGCAGGAATAGTTTCAACTCTTCTAATAGATACATAAATCTAATTTGTGAGCTTGCTCATGGTTCTTGGGGGGAACACATGGGATTTAGGCTCCTCACTTTTCCATCAGTTACACTGGTGAATTATATTTCTTTGGCTGGCAAATCACCTGGCATCATCTCTGTGAGCAGGAATATCCCTTTCACTTGTTTCTGGATTTCAGACCATCTGCAGAAGTATCTACTTCCACTCTCTTTCCAAGAGCCTGCATAAGGAGGGAGGGTGAGTTGCATAAAGACATGTCCTTGCCATGAAGAACGAGCACTCTGCAAGGCACTGCCCCCAAAATTTTCCCCTTAAAAGCCTTAATCCACATTTACTGTATAAACCTGTGCTAAAATGTAAACTTCAGAAAATAGAAATAATTTCTATTTCTATATTTGTTCTCATTGCATTTCTCATCCCTGATGCCACAGAATGAGGCAACAAGCCTCTGGAAGATGTCAAGATGTTTATTATTTAAGTCACTGATAGGAGCTTAGCAGACTTAGAAAGCATGAAGAGAGCTGTCAGAAGCTCACAGCATTCAAATTTTGAATAAGCAGCTCAAGAGAGAATAATTTATTGCAGCCTCAGCACTAGCTACACCAGCCTACAGCTCAACTGTGCTATTTGTGTTGTAAATATATCAGGTCTAACAGACCGGTACAGGACAACAACATTTCCATTGGCAGGAAGACTAAAAATTTTTTAAGAAGGAAGAAAGCATTGCAAAATAGAAAAGTTTTGTAATGCACCCTATGTGCTCTAAGTTGAAGCACATGGTAATGAATAGTATTTTCACATATTTTGCAGGTCTGCTGCTTATAGATGTTATTTCAAACTCTTCATGCTTCTGGATTAATAGAAAAAAAGTGGCCCAGTTTTTCTCTATGTCCAAAGGTACTGCCAGATGGAGTAAAAAAGCCATTTACTATCCACTCTGATTTCAGGATCCCTTTTTGTACCTGTGCAGTTGCTGGTATATTTTCAGCAGTGAAACCCATGATCTGCTCTATGACTAGGCTGTTTGGGACTACTACTATGACTAGACCTGTTCTTCTGCGTGTGTGATAGCAAGAAACAACCAAAGATGGAGAAACTGAGAGTATGGACATGATTCTCAGTGCCTCTATCCTGTGTTGAAGGTGGGAATGTGGGAATAAAGACAGAGGTTTTCTGTATATTTCCTGCACATTTTTGAAACACCGAGGCACAGATTGCAACATTCCAGGACCTGATCTAGTTTGGTCTCAAATGGTCAAAAAGGAATTTGAATTCCAGCTGCATGCCACACATCATTATCCTAAAGCTGCTGTGAAGCAGTGAAGTGCAAATAGCACACATCTGCACAATTTTATGCAGCTTCGCATTGTCAGAGATATACAAAGAGTCTTTTCTGTTAATAGAGAATTGGTTTGTAATTTGGGACTTGCCAGGTATATAAAGACATCACATGTCAACAATAGCCTAAACGAGCTACACAAGACAATGACATTCTGTTTTTATTACAGCAAACAGGTTGAATACTGCAGAGGCACGGAAAAGTTCCCGATCATCATTTATAAAGAAAGCTCTAGTATAAGCACAATGAGTAGGTAACATAAGCAAACAACAGCAGCCTGACAAAATCATAAAAAACTTCAGAAATTTCTTCTCAGAACAATGCTTTTGCATAATTTTTAAAGTGCAATTCACTTGTCTAGGCAGCTCTGCAATGTATCAAAGAGAAAATTAGGCAACAAATTTCTAACAACTCTGTCACGCAAATGTCTATAAACTTCCGAGCACTTGAAATAGTAACATCCGTTGCATATTTGCATCACTCTCCTTTTTAAGCATCGATGGCAGAAGTTAGAAAATTGTTGTGGGAAACACCTTGGCAAAACCATGGCAACATACTAAGAACAAAAGACTTGTTAAAACAGACACAATTGCCTTGCTGTAGGACTTACCCCACGGTGATGTCAAATATGTTGCTTCCAACAGAACTGGATACTGCCATGTCCCCCAGACCTTTGCGTGCCACAATAACACTGGTAATAAGGTCAGGAATGGATGTGCCAGCAGCTAAAATAGTCAATCCCATGATTTCTTCGCTAATACCAATGGTCTCTCCAACCTAAAAGGGTTTAAGAAAAAAAAACCAAAAAGCATCTTGTGGTAAAGAAATGTTTTGTGCTGTAAACCTGTTTAACCAGGAATATTATCCTAGACCTTGTTGACTAGCTTGGAGAATACAGGCAAGATTGGAGAATTACATGTTTTCACAGATTTTCACGTGTTTCAGGAGAAAGATAAGATTGTCACATAGAACCAGTAGGTATTGACAAGCAGCTGCTGATGGCTCTGATGTTACGAGAATGATCAAGTCCTGTGATCAGGACAACCACAGCTCTCTGAACTACTTCGCATTTACTGAGTACTGATTTACTTCATCCATGGTTGCAGGTCCTAAAATAAAGCACTACTCAGCATGAGATAGATGATGGACTCCGATTCTAAACGATCTTTCACAGTGCAAAAGAGAATGCAGGGCTTGTATGTTGTACCAGTATCACATCCTTACCTGATGTGCCCACCAGACCATTAAGTAAGAAAAAAATGCAATCCAGCTGATAGAGCCAAAAAATGTGATAGGAAAAAATTTTCTTGACCTCTGAAACAGAAACAAAGAGAAACAGTGAACACCTATGTTGAAGGCTGATGCGCTGTACTCTTATTTGCTTCTCAAAATGAGAGTGGCCTCATATTTTTTCTGATCACCTGTTCTGACCAACTACTCTCATCATCAGATGATGATCAAAAGAAATGTCAAAAATCGTAAGAAACTGACTCCCTACATGGGTATATACTTACCTGTTCCTCATTCTTCCAATCGTTTCAGCTGTAAAATAATACCTCCTAACAACTAGCAAGTTTTGGGTTGTCATTTGTATCATGGTCTCCTATGCCGCAGTTTGCATATGTGTTTAAGCTGAATGATAGTTTGACTGCTAAATTTATTAATAACACCATGCTTATTCGGAAGGAGTGTTTTCAAATGTTAAAACAAGTACCCATACCTTTCATTCATACATCAATAACTTTGTGCAACACCTTTCACAGTCAGTATAACAAAGGCTGCCATATGACAGAGCTAAAAAAATACACATGTAGAATTTATTAAGGTGTTTACTTTTCTTGGGAAAATAACCAACTTTCTCAATTAAAACAGAAGATACATTAAGCACATATTTGTCATACTCTGTTTTGTAGAGAAGTTTGTTATGAAAACATGTAAAACACACTCTGAGGCCCTTTAATGAATTAAGAAATCTCTATGACATCAAAGTAACTTCATTGTAATTTTCAGTGTCTCCCTTACTGTGTCAAACTTTGAGTAGATAGCATTATTGCAGCCAGTGAATGGGTTATATTCAGATTAATAATTTATTTTGATTTCTGTTCTTTCCAACCTTTTGCATCATCCATATTTCCTATTGGCTAGCTAGAGCTGTGTAAAAAAAAGAGATCAAGTTAACTACCAAAGTAAGGAAACACGACTGCAGTATTGTACCAGGCAATCACTGTCTAAATCAAATTAGTGTTTAAAATGAAATTTGTACTGTGAATGAATGCTACCAGTCTTGAATTAAATCACACTCCTGATGGGCATCGACCTTCTGAACACAGATCCTCACCCAAGATGACTTCCGACGTGCCACTAGCAGAGTCCTACAAATTTTCATGAATAACCAGTAGAACTGCTTGTGGAAGTAAGTTACACTACTTTGAATACTTGTTCACTTGCCATTCAGTTCTGCACTACCTTCTCCTGTCAAGCCCTCGCTAAATTCACCCCCACTTTTCGCTCTGCAGGGGCCTCCAGAATTTTGGGCAGTGCACCTTGCCTGTACCCCTCTCCACTGCAGGACATGCCCCTGCTGCACCAGGGGACTTATTAGCCTGTGGGTCATTCCTAGGTGTTGTGGCAGCAGACAGGACTGCAGGGGTTTCCCTGAACATGACTTTTGAGACAAAATACTGCTTGGATTTTGCCAATTCATCTTGCTCAAGCCGTGATAAAGCCCTCTTTTTTTGGGAGTTTACAGAACTGCACAGCCAGCTTTTCTTGTGTAACAGACACAAGAGCCATTTATATGGGACAGCCTCATGTTTAGGAACTGATTGGCATGGACTAAGGAGTGCTCAGTGAATTGGACTGGCCATCAGAGCTGGTCATGTGGGGATGACACTGTCTTTTGTCAACTGAACCAGAAAAGCGCGAGGCTGGTCTGTGGCTCACTGAAATTGTGTAGACTCTTC